ATGATATCTAGGAGTCCGATGTCTTCTCAAAATTTTGTGACGATTCAACAAAGGAAAAGGTGGGGTCCTCGGATAATGAGGTCTCAACCCCAGTGAAGCTTAAGGATGGGGAAGATAACAAAATTGATACTCTGGGTGCAAAACGGGAATTGTTGGGAGAGTTTTCATCAAATGCTTCGTCGAAGAAAGTTAAAGTGGTGGTCAAAAAGGAGAAAGAAGCATAGTGATGTTGTACTATTTGAGAAACAATTGTTTTGGGGAGCCTTGAGACACTTTTTTGCCTATTTTTATTTCTACCGTTTGAACAATTTATTTTTGCTTATTTTGAATACTATGTGGTGGCATTTGTGTCGTGCCAGAACAGAATGATGTTTTGTTTGATTTATGGTTTTGAAATATATGTTGCATTTTGTTGATTTTGGTTGATTCTTAAAAAGTACAGGTATAGGTTTTCAAAAATGGAAAACAGGTTTGCATATCTTGATGCCATTAGTTTACATATAAAACAATTGAGAAGGTAATAAAAATTGTTTGAATACTGCATCTTCTAAAACAATTGTATCTAATTCTACTTTTTAATTGCAGGTATTCAGTACAATTTTGAAGGTTAGATCATGGGAGATGGAGAGCTGTTTGTAGTGTAATAAAAAATGTTGATGTAGTGTTTGTGTAGTGTAATAAAAAAACATCGTTGATGTAATAAAAAATGTTGATTGTTTGAATGTTGACACATTTATAACTTATTTTTTAAGCTTATGCAATTTGTTACGATCATGAATTTATAAATATTAATGCATAAGTTTATGGAAAAGCAGTTATACTAGAGGTTTCATTCGTACCTGAAACATTTTAATTTAGATAAGTCAAACAACAATATTTTTTAATAAAAAAGTGCAATTGGAAGGGTATTTCAACTTTAGTTATATATAATCTTTTCAACTTTAGTTATATATAATCTAAACAAAAAAGTAGGTGGTGTATAAACACACTGCCCGACAAGGTATAATTAGAATAATTTTGAATTTCTAAACACGAAGTAGTGGTTTATTGAAAAGTACAATATGCCTGCGGTAATTTCTTAAGGTGTTGAATAATAAGTGTGCGTTTAGGAATTTCTACGGTAGAAATTACAAGTGTAGAATTTAAAACAAAATAAATAGTGATTGTTGTGGGTTTAATGATTTAAAACAAAATAAATAATGATTTTACAGTGTTTAGATTCAATAAATAGTATTTTGAAAATATGTTTAATTAGGGGAAATAGCAGGCTTAAAAAGTTGAAAAATTTAAAATTGACAATTTTGTTGGATATGAATTCTAAAGGAACTTATTAACAAAAAAAAGGTTCCCAACGTGTTAATGGGGTAGTTCGATCCCAAATAATTATCTGAGATTCACAAAAAAGTAATAGAAATAATGTGTCTTTTAGAAAACACGTGTGGCATTAAATGAGTTGCCTTTGGGATATTTGAGGTGCCTTTTTGTTTTCACAATTATGTGCATCATAAGTTGAACATTAATGGAGACCATGTGTTCAAAGCAATACGTGCGAGGAAAATGGGATGTCTTTTGATTTTTTCAAAAGATGCATAATCAAAAAGTGATTTAAAACTTCGTGTTCTACAAAATTTTGTTTACGAATTCGTACAGCTTTAATAATAATTTGAATTTAAAAAAAAAAGTGATTTAAAATGTTTACATACAATAATAATGATATATTGAAAAATAGATATATTATAACAATGGTAGATTTTAAAATTCTTCAAATTTCAAAACAACTATTACCATGAATATTAATCGTAAGGGAAATTTGGGAAAATAATAGATTTCATTAATGTTAATGAAATACGATGAAAAAATATATATTTATGGTAACAGACATAAATACTTGGGGTTTTATATACAAAAAATATGACTTTCGGATTTTCAATGAAAAGGATTATATTTATGCCTTTTGGGATTTCTAAATGTGTTAAATACGAATGTGTCTTTTGAAATTTCTAGAAATAAGGGATGATGGTGTCTGTTAAAAAAAGATTAGTAAATAAGGGGTGGCTCATTTATTACAAAAAAGGCTGAAATAATTAGACACATGCTTTATAGGAGATGTTTCAAATTCCTATACTTTGGAATAACAATTGAAAATTCGGCTCATTAAACTGCTTTGGACATTTAAACTAAAAAAAGTCATTATATATAGAAGATTGCACAACCCATAAAACCTCTTACTACTCCATATTATTACCCATCTTGAAAAGTTGAAATCAAACCATGTTGGATTTAACCTATGAACGTGAGGCCAAGTGTTACATGTGCAAGAAAATGTGCTGGAATTAGCAGGCATGGGGGTGTGTATTGTGCGAAGGAAGACAAGCCATTACTGATCCATCAAAAGGAGGTACGTAAGTGTAAAAAAGAAAGTCTTCATGCAAAGTGTGTGTTGCCATGCGTTCTACTGTATAATTTAAAAAAAAACAAGTACTCCAATGATGATGTGAAAGTAGCAATGTGTTTTGGTTCGCTTAAAAATCAGATTTGTAAAAGTTATTCCATATTTTAGTGATTTATGTATTGAATTGAAACAACTCTGTAGTACTTTAGTTGTTTTGTTATGTAAACTTAGGATTATTAAACTAAAGTTCATAAATTTATCCATAATGAAAAATAGATGTGCACTGTAAACTTAGGATTATTAAATTGAAGCTTTTATTGTTTGAAAAATCATGAGGAGTTTAATGAATTTTTAATTATACACACGCATAAGTATTATGGAATATACAACATACCTTAATTAATCTTAAATTAAGAAATTGCATAGGTTTGAATGCCTGCTAGGAAACGTAGATATGCTTTAAGTAGTTCCATGAGTTATCTTACCTGCGAGAATAAAAAGATAAGTTAGTGTAGCAGCGTAATTTTACAGAAATGATACTAATTTATATTTTCAATAAAGAAGAGTAACTTAACAATTTTGCAGACCTACTAGAAAAAAAACACAAAATGGAGAAAGTTATAGAGAGTGAACAATACAAGAGAAAAAGAGGTGTACCTATCATCTCCCAAGATAAAGGTAAGATATAACACGGTTGTTTTAAAGACATTTGATATATCTATGTTTATGAATATTAACTGAATGCAAAGCATACATGGGATGGATCTTAAACTGGATCAACAATTGAAATTTATCATTTCTTAAAATTGAAAAGTGTTCTTCATTATTTAAATATAAATAGTCAGTGATAGAAATCAACTTTATGTATGTATCTGTATATACCTTCTGTAAAAATACAGGCACCTCAACAGTTAATTATGAAGGACAGTGAACAGATTTGAAGATGTGTTCACTCAAACACTTTCTTTCTCCTTAATTTGTTGCCCTCCAAATTTGTGTATTGGTCTTTGTTTTTGCTTCTGTAAAATGAGACAACTTTGTATAAGTATATTACGATGCTATATAAAATTTAAATAAAGTATAGGCTTAGTAACAACTTGGCATTTAAAAATGCCCAGATATTAAGATAAAAAAGGAATATATTAATGTGTGGTTGGTTCACTGAATAAGTAGAAGATACTGTTAAAGAAAAAATACAAATAAAAAGTTTAACTTTATTTCATAGAATATGTTGATTAATGTATGTAGCTAAAGCTGAATACACGATGTTTTAATCCGTTAATAACAAAATCACGTTTTCAAAGCATATATACATTTGTAAAAAAGAAAGCAAATAATTTTAACATATGTTTAAATGTAATAAAATGTGTTCAATTGCAATTGCATTTGTGTATTATCTCAAAGGCGTACTTTTTTCATCCGGATTTAAAAAACAGGATTTTTGATCAACCTAGACTGGATTAAAACGAGATTTACAAATTTCCATTCATTTTATACTAACGATGATGACATAGTAATGAAATTATAATTGGCATGCATTTATTTGGGCGAAATAAATTAAATTAATTCACAATCTATGCGAAAAAATACTTATCTCTCAAAGTTAGTTGATGATTAAGGCTCAGATTCTTCAACATAGTCGGAAGATTCGCCGGTAAACTTATAAAGTGCCGATGGTGCCGGTGTGCTTGAAAATGCCTAGCGGCTAAGGTTGACGAGGTGAGGGTGTAGATATATGCGCATGATTGAGATCTGGCTGAAGGTGGTGAAGATAGGAAAGAAGGCACATCGAGAAATTTCTGCGTCTCCCTTCTGCCGGCTGCGAAGAAGATGAAATTTCTGCCTCTCCCAAAGACTAAATGCGGCTGCGAAGAAGAGGAACGAAGAACAGGGTTTGGGAAAGATATTTCATTTTGATTCCTGGGCTTTTGGGCTAAATCAGAAATTGGGTTTTAGATTTTTTGTTTTGAAGTATTGGGCTGGAGTCACAAAATTGGCTATGGGCCAGACCTAGGAAAGTATTTAGGATGTAATTATATTTTCTAAATTCAATTATAAGATTTCTTTAACCTTTCACACTTGCCGAGACACGACTTTGACCATTAATATAAATGATTTTGAATTAGTTTTCATATTGCGTAGTATACAATGTCATATGATAATTTCCCGTGCATCACAACTTACTGGGCCAACTTTTGTTTGGGCCGAACTCCGTTCGGTATGTCTTCTTACTGGGCCAACTTTTGTTTGGGCCGAACTCCGTTCGGTATGTCTTCTTACTGGGCCAACTTTTGTTTGGGCCGAACTCCGTTCGGTATGTCTTCTCACTGGATCTATTCATCATAGAGTGATGGGCCCGTTGCTTGGGCCGAATATTTTGGGCCTTCCCGATCTGGGTATTGGGCCTCTAGGTCAACTAGTTACTCCACCCGTGCGCTGCACGGGAGTGAGACACCCACATAATAATTTAGATATAGTTATATATTTAAAAATATTTAAAAAATAAGATTGTGTTAGAATTATTTGAAAACATTATATAAATTCTGAATAAATGGTAAGAACTAAATGTAAAACATCACACGATGAAATGGATGCGCATTTAAGTCCACCACATTATACCAAAAATTATAAATTACTCTATAGTACATATTTCTTTGTAAACAACATTCAATGTTGATTTGGTTGGTTTTCCATCTTCGTCATTACAAACTCCAATCCCATGAACTTGTTACTCTCCACACTGCCATGTACAAATGTTTGTGAGTAATAATGGAGCGTCAGAGTAAGATAACAACTTTTTTCAACGATTGTCCGTGACTTTTATTAATGGTCATTGCAAACCTAACAATTTTAGGCGGAAAATGCTTAGGCGGGAAAATTTTCTCTCTCCAATATAGTGCTTTTAGGTATAGGATGAAATTACATTTTAGGAGTTTAGGATGATGATTTTTTTTTTTTGCGGAAAGTGTAATTGCATTTTAGGATTTTAGGCGGAGAATGCTTAGGCGGGAGAATTTTCTCTCTCCAGTGTAATGCTTTTAGGTATAGGATGATGATTTTTTTTGCGGAAAGTGAAATTACATATTAGGATTTTAGGCGGAGAATGCTTAGGCGGGAGAATTTTCTCTCTTCAGTGTAGTGCTTTTAGGTACAGGATGCTTTTTAGGGGGGGAAGTGAAATTACATTTTAGGATTTTAGGCGGATAATGCTTAGGCGGGAGAATTTTCTCTCTCTAGTGTAGTGCTTTTAGGTATGTGATGATGATGATGATGATGATGGTGGTGAATTTTTTTTGTTGAAAGTGAAATTATATTTTAGGATTTCAATTTTGCTACAGGTACCCCATACTTACCTCATTTCCTACCCCATATAAATACCTCCTGTTTTACCATCCCTTTTACCCTCTTTCCAAAAACCCTTCCCCCCTCCCCCACTTTTCTTCTCCTTCCCTCTCTCTCTCCTCCATCTTTTCTTTTCACGCAACCCCCCTCATCCCCTCCCCTTTCTTTTTCTTTTCTCTAAAATTTGATTTCTTCTCCATTTCAAGATCTTTTCCCATTAAGTCTTCTCATTTTTACAATCTTTTCTCCCTCCAAGCTTCTTCTCTTGCTTCTCTCCTCTTCTGCCTTTTTTCGTTTCAAATGGAAGAGCTACAATAATCGGACGAAGGGGAGAAGCTCGGTGACGTGGGGAGTTGTGTCTAAGGTAACCATCCCTTCTCAAATCATGAGTTACGTACTCCATTTACGATTTTTCTTCATGTGCGTTTTTTATTTTTATTTTTTCCTTTTTTCGATTTTATGTATATTATGTATGATATAAAAGTGAATAAATGATTATTTTGTTTCATTGTAATGATTTTGAGGTGTTACCTAATTAAAATTTTAGTGTAATTTCTCTATTTCATTTTATGCCCATAACATGTTTGTAGAAATTACTCAATGAAGTTTTTGTTGAAATTCAAGACTTTTTTTCCATTTTTGTACCTCAATGTTAATGAGTATTTTTATGGATTTCCAATTTAATATGATATAGTAATTTAATTGATGTTTTGGAAAAGAGTATGTTGTTTTTTTGTAATTTGTTTGTATTTTGTTTGGCGGACAGACAATTTAGAACTGCAGTGTCTGTCTAGCCTAAAGTGAACACGGTTTTGTCTTAAAGTCTGGGCCAATTTACTACTCTCTGTCTTATAGCCAGACAAAATTTGTCTGGTCCAGACATTAGTAGTCTGGGCCAATTAACTACGCTCTGTCTTACAGCCAGACAAATTTTGTCTGGGCCAGACATTAGTAGTCTGGGCCAATTGACTACTCTCTGTCTTACAGCCAGACAAATTTTGTCTGGGCCAGACATTAGTAGTCTGGGCCATTTAACTACTCTTTGTCTTACAGCCAGACAAATTTTGTATAGGCTAGACATTAGTAGAGTGGGCCAATTAACTACTCTCTGTCTCACAGCCAGACAAAAGTTGGCTGTGCCAGACAACAGTTGTCTCTTCCAGACAAATTGATTATGCCTCACATATGCTATTTGTACCAAATATGTGTTCTGACTACGTGTTGTGTATTAATCGTAGGTGTTCACTTCAAGATGACGAATGACTTCAAATGTAAGGCTGAAAAAGAGTTCCAAGCGGACGCTAATTCATTTACAAAAAGTATACCAAGTGTGACTTCTTTTGCAATGGAGAAATAAATGCAAGGATGCTGAAGTATATACTGTTGGGGGAATGTGTCCGTTTTGAACTTGTGATTTTTTGAACATGTATTTTTTTCATATTACACTTGGGAAAATGTGTTGAATATTGTACAATGTTACATGTTCAATGTTGAACAATTGGATTCAGCGGTATTGTCTGTATGTGTTGAATACTTATGTATGTTGATCTTTTGTTTGTCTGGTTATCTGCGGTATTGTCTGTATGTGTAAATTGTTTGTCTTTCTGCGTGAAAGTAATGTATGTGTGGTTATCTGTGTTGTTTGTCTATCTAACGGTTGTGTTTCACTGTTTGGACACTGTTTGACACTGTTTGGCACTGTTTTGCACTGTTTTGTTTCCTAAAATGGAAGTGTGAACTTAAATAAGGGACATCCCAAAAAGGAAAGTGGGAACTTTAATAAGAACCGAAGGGAGTACATGTTTGGTTTTCACCAAATTCATTTGTACATTAACAAATACAATCATATCTCCGAACACTTTTATATAACCACATTAACAATTACTAAACTCATCAAAATGTACTATAAAATAACTAAACTCGTCAAAACAACCCACAAATATACATTCCCACATTAATAACAATTCCTATGCTTCCTCCACCTTGTTCCACATATTTGCATACTCGCAACCTGGAATCAATGACTTTTCCATTTACAGGTGCTCTGCAAAGGAAGCCACCATCACTCATTCTCCCGACCTGTAGACAGACAACTCTGAATAAAGGCCAGACATTTTATATCACATTACAGACAATTTGTTGCAATACATATGTAGACAGACAGACTATTTTCACATTACATACAACTCAAATAGAATGCCAGACAACGTTTTTCACATACAGACAACTACAAATCAATTTTAAAGAATTCATTTCACATTACAGACAAATCAAATGGAATGTCAGACAACTCTTTTCACTTCATAGAGAACTACAAACCAATTTTCAACATCCGAAGAGAGACATCACAAAAGTCATCACACGTATTATAAAATACATTTGTAAAATAAGAAGATGTGCATACATACAGTTGCTCTATGTACTCAAACAAATAAATTTGTCTGTCAAGATAGACATCTTATGTAAGACTCTACCAATTATGAAACCATGCTAAGCTAGACAGACGCTGCACTTCAAATTTGTCTGTCAGACAGACAACCCCTTTTCATGTGGAGTTGGACGAAAAATACCAAAAAAATGAGGAAAAAATAGCAAAATGATGAAATAGTGCCTCACATGACGGATGGGGCTTCCACCGGCCTTTACCGCCAGAGATCTGAGGCGCCGGGCCGTGCTTCGATTTATGGAGGATTTCAGATCGGCGAGCGTTGAGGAGAGGGGTTCATGGGGGTGAGGACGGGGGTTGGTTGTTTCGTGGGGGCCATGACGACGGTTGGTTGTTTTGTGGGAGCCAGGACGGCGGTTGTGGAGGATAGGTTGGGAACTGTTGAGGTTGGTGCGGGAAGGGAGTTCTTGGAAAGTTGTTGGGGAAGGAAAAAGGTGGGAGGAGTGGGAGATTTGGAAGTGGAGATGAGGGGGAAGGTTGTGGGGAGTTGAGGGAGGGGAGGTGAAGGGAGGGGGGTAAATTTTTTAGAAGGTATTTATATGGGGTATAAAATGGGGTAAGGTTGGGGTACCTATAGCAAAATTGTTAGGACTTTAGACGGAGAATGCTTAAGCGGGATAATTTTCTCTCTCCTGTGTAGTGTTTTTTTTTGTGGAAAGTAAAATTATATTTTAGGATTTTAGGCGGAGAATGCTTAGGCGGAAAACTCTTCTCTCTCCAGTGTAGTGCTTTTAGGTATAGAATGAAATTACATTTTAGGATTTTAGGATTATAGGATGATGATTTTTTGTGGAAAGTGTAATTACATTTTAGAAATTTAGACGGAGAATGCTTAGGCGAAAGAATTTTCACTCTCCAGTGTAGTGCTTTTAGGTATATGATGTTTTTTTTGCGGAAAGTGAAATTACATTTTAGGATTTTAGGCGGAGAATGCTTAGGCGGGAGAATTTTCTCTCGCCAGTGTAGTGCTTTTAGGTATAGGTTGTTTTTTGTGGAAAGTAAAATTATATTTTTGGATTTTAGGCGGATAATGCTTAGGCGGAAAACTCTTCTCTCTCCGGTGTAGTGCTTTTGGTTATAGAATGAAATTACATTTTAGGATTTTAGGATTATAGGATGATGATTTTTTTGTGGAAAGTGTAATTACATTTTAGAAATTTAGACGGAGAATGCTTAGGCGAAAGAATTTTCTCTCTCCAGTGTAGTGCTTTTAGGTATATGATGTTTTTTTTTTGTGGAAACTGAAATTACATTTCAGGATTTTAGTCATAGAATGCTTAGGCGGGATAATTTGCTCTCTCCAGTGTAGTGCTTTTAGGTATAGAATGTTTTTTTTTTGTGGAAAGTGAAATTTTATTTTAGGATTTTAGGCGGAGAATGCTTAGGCAGAAAACTCTTCTCTCTCTAGTGTAGTGCTTTTAGGTATAGAATGAAATTACATTTTAGGATTTTAGGATTATAGGATGATGATTTTTTTTTTGTGAAAAATGTAATTACATTTTAGGAATTTAGACGGAGAATGCTTAGACGAAAGAATTTTCTCTCTCTAGTGTAGTGCTTTTAGGTGTATAATATATATATATATATATATATGGATGAGTTCTAATACAAAGAGGTCTTCCCATGAAAAGTGAGAAGTGATCTAAACCCTTGATTACTTAAAAATGGATGGTATAGATCAAAACTTACGGTCAACCAAAATGTGTAATACATAATAGCAAAAGTGCATAGACAATATGTAATGGTGCACATTCACTTTCGAAAAAAATAATAGGAACGATTATTATACTTGTTATGTTTTTCTCGAAAAGTGATGCACTTTTTTGTTACTCTAATGCACTTTTCCTCCGTAGTGATGCACATTTGTGACGTTATTTTTCAAAAAAAACTTTTAATAATTACACTTTTGGCACCGAATTTTTCCCTCAAATGATCTGATCCACTCATTTTCTCATTTTAACGGCTAAGATTACTTCTCATTTTTCATATAAGGAGTACTTTGTATTTGAACGTCATCCTGGATATCAGCCTCCAGATCTACCCCGATAGCCACCTTACGGTTCGGGGGGAAATTGAGGTCGATTTGTTCAAGAAGGGTGGCGGGCTCTGGGTGCGCCTCGAACTCCGTTCGGTGGGTTTCCACCTCAATTGTATTCACCCGCATCCCACGGGTGTTCATCTGTTTCAGGGCCTCCCGATAACATGTCCGGGCTGTCGTTGGATCAGTTCTGGCCACCCCAACCCTAGTGTCTGTAGGGAATTTGATGCATGAATGGCGGACAGAGGCTATTGCCTCTAGATCTTCCAGTCCCGGTCGGCCCAATATGGCATTGTGGGCACACTTTATATCTACTACCACGAACGTCATTCGGAGTGACGCTTTGTGGGTTTCATCCCCGATTTCAACCATTAATTGGATGGTCCCCTCAGCCTCGATGCAGTTACCGGCAAAACTTGCCAGTGGGGTCCGTAGGTGGGTCAGTTGGCTCCTTTGTAGACCCATTTTCTCGAATGATTGTAAATACAATACATTCACACTGCTCCCGGTATCGACCAGTACTCGGCGGATCAAAGCATTGTCAATACACATGCTTACCACCAGTTCATCCCTGTGAGGGCTTGGAGAGTTGGGTAAATCAGCTGGCCCAAACGTGATCGGGTCTGTCTTTCCTTTCTTCTGGGGGGGAGTGGAGACGGATCCCACATAAAGACTTCGCTCGAACCTTTTCCGTTCGGCGTTCGAATCTCCGGTCTCCCCGCCCCCAAATATCACCTTGACCTCCATTCGAGGCTTCTTTCCAGGGCCTCCCGAGCCCTCTGGCTCATCCCTGGGAGGAACATACACATCATTTTGAGGTTGGGCGTCACGTTGAGCATCCCGGCACCAGCTATTAGGTTTCCTGGCCGGTTTCAACGTGCCCATAGCATTTGGATCTTTATTCACATATTTGCCCAGCTGGCCCCTTCGGATCAGATCCTCAATGGCTGTTTGTAGGGCCCTGCAGGCATTGGTGGCATGACCCTTTCTGTTGTGATATTTAGAGAAAGCATTATCATCCACTCCCATGAACTGTCCAGAATCAGTCGGGATGGGAATATTGTCCCTCTCGTGCTGATAGATGGTCGCTATTGATAGGACCAGGGGTGTAAATCTCCCTTGTTTGGGAGGTAAAGCGGCCGTTGGTCTAGGACCCAGGCGATCGGCCATTCTGATCGGGGCAGCAGGCGCAATGACCTTATCCCTGATCATTATCTCCTCTTCTAAGGCGGCATGCTTGTGAGCCCTATCTAATACCTCGGCGTACACCGTACCCGGATTTTTCTTCAACTCTTTGTACAACTCCCTCGTTCGGAGAGCATTTGTGAATAGGGTAATGGCGGTATCATCCGTCATGTTTCCCACCGTTAAAGTTTCATCCCTCCACCTTTTCAGGAATCGATTGAGGGTCTCTTTGGCGTTTTGCTTCACGCTGGTCAAATAGCAGAAGTGCCGTTTGGGATTGGCACTGGAAGCAAACTGAGCCAAGAATAACGCTGATAACTCGGCAAAGCTGTTGATTGACCCGGGCTGCAGTGTCCCGAACTACTCCTGGGCAGGCCCCCTGAGCGTGCTGAAAAACAACCGGCAAATGGCGGCCTCGGGTGCTCCTAGCAGCATGAGTCCCCCTTGGTAACTCCTCAGATGTACGTGGGGATCTCCCATCCCGTCATAAATTTGGCCGGTCGGGGGCTTGGCACCCCCTTGGATATCTGCGTACATGAGTTCCCTAGTAAACGTGGAAGTAATTCCCAGCTGAACTGGGGCAGTTTGTACAGGTACCCTGTTCATCTGGTCTCGCATTTCGTTCATTTGCCTCCTCATCTCGGCCATTTCTTCCTCCTGGGCCGTCAAAGGGGGCGGTGGTGGAGCCCTCATATCCGTACAGTCCCGGTCCCAATGCCGCTGAGGGGCCCTATTATTTTCCCGCTCGGCATACTGGAAATGATGACCAACGGGAGTTGGTCCTCTAGCTTGTGATCCGACCGGGGTTCGGTCACTGGGACTGTGGTGCGCTGTTGGTGGGGCGCTACGTCGATTATCCCGATGGACATGTGAACGGGATGACGCCATGGTTGTTTCCGTGCGTGGAGTCTCCCCTGTAAAGCTGGAACCTCCTTCCTCTTCGTTCGCCATATGCTGCATGACCTGGGCCATGTCAAGCATGGCCTGAGGATTTCTTCTCAGAGATTCAGGAATCACAAAATCCCCATCGAAACGAGGATACGATCCTCGACTGGATTGTCCCTGAGGGTTTTGACTCCCCGGGGTGTGACTCCTCTCGTGACGGCGTGAACCGTCGCTTGTATGATAGGAACTGATTCTGACCATTTTTGAAAAAATAGAGGTTTTTTGGATGATTTGAAAGTGAAACTTTTTGCAAGTTTCCCACAGACGACGCCAATGTTGAGGGTAAATCCCGTAGATCCGAAAGCCCAACACGAACTTTGGATATATCAGGAATGGCCCAGAATCAAAGCGTGTAAAAAATATAAGATCTGAACTAACTAACACTCGAAAGCTCACTTGTATTAATTAACCAATCTGATTACAAGGAATTTCCCGATCGGTAGGTCGGAAACTATGCTTTAATACAAGAAATAAGAGCAATGATGCTATTCTAGAGCCTGAGTATTGTAATGCTAACCCTTACAATGACTTGAAACCTTCTATTTATACTAATGGAGAGCATGGGCTGCCCCATGCTGATTGGCCGTTTTTCCACCGACTTGGTCATCCATGCTTCCACTTGCTGATGTCACAATCTGACATTAATTGCACCTGGCCACTTGCTGGTTGGCCGTTGCTCGAACGGGGTGTTGGGCTATACTGAAGATGCTGTCAAATTGGCCCAAGTATGATATCTATATATATATTAAAATGGAAAAGCGTGGGGGGAGTTTGGGAGGGAATTTGGGTGGCATTATGCATTCAAAATTCAAATGAGGAAGAGGTGTTTAGGCACACGTGTGAATTAAGCCAGAGAAGTGCATGCATTTCCCGATTTTTGTGTGAGTTTTAGTGACTCCGACAATTAATTAGAGGTTATTGAATGAAATCTCCTCGGGATTGGACCCTTTCTGACAGCCCTTTTGCCAGCGTAGCGCATTGATTGGCGCATGAAAATGGGGAATGAAAAAGACAGAGTGGCCGCAGGAAAGTAACTGGCTTCATACTATTTAAGGTGTCTTTTGGTCTTCAAAAATTCAAAATTTCATTCTTGATTTTAACAACCGGTTGAACAACCGGTGGCTACTGGTCTTCATTCCTAAAAACCTTTTCATAATCTGCTTTTGAACAACCGGTTAGATTTGGGTGGGGTTATATGAAACATTTTTTTTTGAAAGTTGCTTTTGAACTTAAAAAAACACGTGCACACTCTGTCATTAAATATAGGGTTGAAATTTATTCTATAAATAAGGTCCTCAACAGCTTTACAGCCCACCATAGGCGCATAGCAAGTAGAAACGAAGGCATCACTTGAGTTCAATATTTGTGGAAAAATGGCGGGTATGTTTGGTTTGATTCGGGATGTATCTCCTCAATCCAGGATTTGGGGTTTAAGACTAAGGCTGGTGCGGATGTATTACTCACAAAGTGAAGACATTGAAGTTAGGAGTCTGGAGTGTGTGTTTCATGACAAGGAGGTAGATATTTGCTATATTTACATTCAGTTACAAAACGAATATTTTCTTGAATATAGATTGTAAGGCAATTTTTGACAAATAATTGGTTTCGTTAATGCCGAGCGGCTTTTTTTATTTTTTAAATGCTAGGGAGATCGGATCCATGGAACGATTCGAAGCTTTTTGATTGCAAAGTATAAGGATGTAATGAAAGAGGGAGAGGTTTATGCAATTGGCAATTTTGTTGTGGCATATGATGGTAAAAAATACAAGACCACACCAAACAAGTTCAAGATACTTTTTCTCCCAAAGACTCAAATTACGGAACACAATGAGCCGGAGTTCTTGAACGAGATGTATAAATTCAAATCTTTTGAGAGTGTGTTGACAGCAAACATATTGGATGAAACCGAAATGTTTGATTAGTAGTTTTTCCGAGTTTGTTTAGATTATATTTTTATTCCCATAAAATATATTCATAAATACGTTTTGCATTTTCACTTGTGCTAAAATGATTTTTTTTATGTTTAGATGTTATTGGTCACATTGTCTCAAAAAGAGGTGTAGAAGATACATTGGTAAAAGGAGTGCCACATAAAACAAGACAAGTTTTGCTTCAAGATAATGAGTACGCGTTAGCGTCCTACACGTGAAGTATCATGCTATTCTATCATAATTATTATTACATATATTTTTTATATATTCCATAGGATGCGCCAGATTCGGTTCACATTTTGGGACAACTACATCAATGAAGTGAATCCGTATTTAGATAACAATACGGTTGAACCCGTCATATGCCTTGTGCAATTCTGTCGTGCAAAGATGTTTAATGGTTTGATTTGGGTTACTCTTGCTAATATAAATTTACATAATTTGAAAATGAACATTTTAGTATAGCAAGTGACATTTGTATTGACGGTTTGTGTAGGTACACCACAATTATCAACCTCATTCCACATTACAAAGATTATCATTAATGGAACAAGTGATGAGTTCAAGTGTTTTAGGGATGGGTAAATGGATTTCATTTTTATTTCACAACAATAAATGAATGAGTTATTTTAATACAATTTTTTTACGCTTACAATGACGTCGTTTCTTTGTTCTTTTACAAGTATGATCGAGAGAAATATTGAGGTGCAAAGTATAAGTACTCTTTCAGTGACATCAAACTCACGCTTGCCTATATTGGAGGAACTTAAATCCTTGACTGGACCGTTGAAAACTATAGATGAACTCTATGAATCGAAAGAGGTTTCATTTTCAACTTCGAATTTTTTTCTTTTTTTCCAAAATGCAAATTAAAATTTATTCTATGTTTACAGGGCGGAAGTTTCTGGGTGTATGCAAGGATCGTCGCAATAGAGAGTGGTGACAACTGGTGGTATTTATCATGCCCAAACTGTACTAAGAAACTTGATAAAACAGATTCGCAATTCCATTGTACAAATTGTGCCAAGTCGTGTGTTGATGGTGTGCCAAGGTTACGTCTTACTTAATTTCCGAATTAACTTTTGTTTTAATATATGTATATATATGGAAAACAAGGGAAATTTGGGAAAATAAAAGATTTCATTAATGTTAATGAAATACGATGAAAAAATATATATTTATGGTAACAGACATAAATACTTGGGGTTTTATATACAAAAAATATGACTTTCGGATTTTCAATGAAAAGGATTATATTTATGCCTTTTGGGATTTCTAAATGTGTTAAATACGAATGTGTCTTTTGAAATTTCTAGAAATAAGGGATGATGGTGTCTGTTAAAAAAAGATTAGTAAATAAGGGGTGGCTCATTTATTACAAAAAAGGCTGAAATAATTAGACACATGCTTTATAGGAGATGTTTCAAATTCCTATACTTTGGAATAACAATTGAAAATTCGGCTCATTAAACTGCTTTGGACATTTAAACTAAAAAAAGTCATTATATATAGAAGATTGCACAACCCATAAAACCTCTTACTACTCCATATTATTACCCATCTTGAAAAGTTGAAATCAAACCATGTTGGATTTAACCTATGAACGTGAGGCCAAGTGTTACATGTGCAAGAAAATGTGCTGGAATTAGCAGGCATGGGGGTGTGTATTGTGCGAAGGAAGACAAGCCATTACTGATCCATCAAAAGGAGGTACGTAAGTGTAAAAAAGAAAGTCTTCATGCAAAGTGTGTGTTGCCATGCGTTCTACTGTATAATTTAAAAAAACAAGTACTCCAATGATGATGTGAAAGTAGCAATGTGTTTTGGTTCGCTTAAAAATCAGATTTGTAAAAGTTATTCCATATTTTAGTGATTTATGTATTGAATTGAAACAACTCTGTAGTACTTTAGTTGTTTTGTTATGTAAACTTAGGATTATTAAACTAAAGTTCATAAATTTATCCATAATGAAAAATAGATGTGCACTGTAAACTTAGGATTATTAAATTGAAGCTTTTATTGTTTGAAAAATCATGAGGAGTTTAATGAGTTTTTAATTATACACACGCATAAGTATTATGGAATATACAACATACCTTAATTAATCTTAAATTAAGAAATTGCATAGGTTTGAATGCCTGCTAGGAAACGTAGATATGCTTTAAGTAGTTCCATGAGTTATCTTACCTGCGAGAATAAAAAGATAAGTTAGTGTAGCAGCGTAATTTTACAGAAATGATACTAATTTATATTTTCAATAAAGAAGAGTAACTTAACAATTTTGCAGACCTACTAGAAAAAAAACACAAAATGGAGAAAGTTATAGAGAGTGAACAATACAAGAGAAAAAGAGGTGTACCTATCATCTCCCAAGATAAAGGTAAGATATAACACGGTTGTTTTAAAGACATTTGATATATCTATGTTTATGAATATTAACTGAATGCAAAGCATACATGGGATGGATCTTAAACTGGATCAACAATTGAAATTTATCATTTCTTAAAATTGAAAAGTGTTCTTCATTATTTAAATATAAATAGTCAGTGATAGAAATCAACTTTATGTATGTATCTGTATATACCTTCTGTAAAAATACAGGCACCTCAACAGTTAATTATGAAGGACAGTGAACAGATTTGAAGATGTGTTCACTCAAACACTTTCTTTCTCCTTAATTTGTTGCCCTCCAAATTTGCGTATTGGTCTTTGTTTTTGCTTCTGTAAAATGAGACAACTTTGTATAAGTATATTACGATGCTATATAAAATTTAAATAAAGTATAGGCTTAGTAACAACTTGGCATTTAAAAATGCCCAGATATTAAGATAAAAAAGGAATATATTAATGTGTGGTTGGTTCACTGAATAAGTAGAAGATACTGTTAAAGAAAAAATACAAATAAAAAGTTTAACTTTATTTCATAGAATATGTTGATTAATGTATGTAGCTAAAGCTGAATACACGATGTTTTAATCCGTTAATAACAAAATCACGTTTTCAAAGCATATATACATTTGTAAAAAAGAAAGCAAATAATTTTAACATATGTTTAAATGTAATAAAATGTGTTCAATTGCAATTGCATTTGTGTATTATCTCAAAGGCGTACTTTTTTCATCCGGATTTAAAAAACAGGATTTTTGATCAACCTAGACTGGATTAAAACGAGATTTACAAATTTCCATTCATTTTATACTAACGATGATGACATAGTAATGAAATTATAATTGGCATGCATTTATTTGGGCGAAATAAATTAAATTAATTCACAATCTATGCGAAAAAATACTTATCTCTCAAAGTTAGTTGATGATTAAGGCTCAGATTCTTCAACATAGTCGGAAGATTCGCCGGTAAACTTATAAAGTGCCGATGGTGCCGGTGTGCTTGAAAATGCCTAGCGGCTAAGGTTGACGAGGTGAGGGTGTAGATATATGCGCATGATTGAGATCTGGCTGAAGGTGGTGAAGATAGGAAAGAAGGCACATCGAGAAATTTCTGCGTCTCCCTTCTGCCGGCTGCGAAGAAGATGAAATTTCTGCCTCTCCCAAAGACTAAATGCGGCTGCGAAGAAGAGGAACGAAGAACAGGGTTTGGGAAAGATATTTCATTTTGATTCCTGGGCTTTTGGGCTAAATCAGAAATTGGGTTTTAGATTTTTTGTTTTGAAGTATTGGGCTGGAGTCACAAAATTGGCTATGGGCCAGACCTAGGAAAGTATTTAGGATGTAATTATATTTTCTAAATTCAATTATAAGATTTCTTTAACCTTTCACACTTGCCGAGACACGACTTTGACCATTAATATAAATGATTTTGAATTAGTTTTCATATTGCGTAGTATACAATGTCATATGATAATTTCCCGTGCATCACAACTTACTGGGCCAACTTTTGTTTGGGCCGAACTCCGTTCGGTATGTCTTCTTACTGGGCCAACTTTTGTTTGGGCCGAACTCCGTTCGGTATGTCTTCTTACTGGGCCAACTTTTGTTTGGGCCGAACTCCGTTCGGTATGTCTTCTCACTGGATCTATTCATCATAGAGTGATGGGCCCGTTGCTTGGGCCGAATATTTTGGGCCTTCCCGATCTGGGTATTGGGCCTCTAGGTCAACTAGTTACTCCACCCGTGCGCTGCACGGGAGTGAGACACCCACATAATAATTTAGATATAGTTATATATTTAAAAATATTTAAAAAATATGATTGTGTTAGAATTATTTGAAAACATTATATAAATTCTGAATAAATGGTAAGAACTAAATGTAAAACATCACACGATGAAATGGATGCGCATTTAAGTCCACCACATTATACCAAAAATTATAAATTACTCTATAGTACATATTTCTTTGTAAACAACATTCAATGTTGATTTGGTTGGTTTTCCATCTTCGTCATTACAAACTTCAATCCCATGAACTTGTTACTCTTCACACTGCCATGTACAAATGTTTGTGAGTAATAATGGAGCGTCAGAGTAAGATAACAACTTTTTTCAACGATTGTCCGTGACTTTTATTAATGGTCATTGCAAACCTAACAATTTTAGGCGGAAAATGCTTAGGCGGGAAAATTTTCTCTCTCCAATATAGTGCTTTTAGGTATAGGATGAAATTACATTTTAGGAGTTTAGGATGATGATTTTTTTTTTGCGGTAAGTGTAATTGCATTTTAGGATTTTAGGCGGAGAATGCTTAGGCGGGATAATTTTCTCTCTCCAGTGTAATGCTTTTAGGTATAGGATGATGATTTTTTTTGCGGAAAGTGAAATTACATATTAGGATTTTAGGCGGAGAATGCTTAGGCGGGAGAATTTTCTCTCTTCAGTGTAGTGCTTTTAGGTATAGGATGCTTTTTAGGGGGGGAAGTGAAATTACATTTTAGGATTTTAGGCGGATAATGCTTAGGCGGGAGAATTTTCTCTCTCTAGTGTAGTGCTTTTAGGTATATGATGATGATGATGATGATGGTGGTGAATTTTTTTTGTTGAAAGTGAAATTATATTTTAGGATTTCAATTTTGCTACAGGTACCCCATACTTACCCCATTTCCTACCCCATATAAATACCTCCTGTTTTACCATCCCTTTTACCCTCTTTCCAAAAACCCTTCCCCCCTCCCCCACTTTTCTTCTCCTTCCCTCTCTCTCTCCTCCATCTTTTCTTTTCACGCAGCCCCCCTCATCCCCTCCCCTTTCTTTTTCTTTTCTCTAAAATTTGATTTCTTCTCCATTTCAAGATCTCTTCCCATTAAGTCTTCTCATTTTTACAATCTTTTCTCCCTCCAAGCTTCTTCTCTTGCTTCTCTCCTCTTCTGCCTTTTTTTCGTTTCAAATGGAAGAGCTACAATAATCGGACGAAGGGGAGAAGCTCGGTGACGTGGGGAGTTGTGTCTAAGGTAACCATCCCTTCTCAAATCATGAGTTACGTACTCCATTTACGATTTTTCTTCATGTGTGTTTTTTATTTTTATTTTTTCCTTTTTTCGATTTTATGTATATTATGTATGATATAAAAGTGAATAAATGATTATTTTGTTTCATTGTAATGATTTTGAGGTGTTACCTAATTAAAATTTTAGTGTAATTTCTCTATTTCATTTTATGCCCATAACATGTTTGTAGAAATTACTCAATGAAGTTTTTGTTGAAATTCAAGACTTTTTTTCCATTTTTGTACCTCAATGTTAATGAGTATTTTTATGGATTTCCAATTTAATATGATATAGTAATTTAATTGATGTTTTGGAAAAGAGTATGTTGTTTTTTTTGTAATTTGTTTGTATTTTGTTTGGCGGACAGACAATTTAGAACTGCAGTGTCTGTCTAGCCTAAAGTGAACACGATTTTGTCTTAAAGTCTGGGCCAATTAACTACTCTCTGTCTTATAGCCAGACAAAATTTGTCTGGTCCAGACATTAGTAGTCTGGGCCAATTAACTACGCTCTGTCTTACAGCCAGACAAATTTTGTCTGGGCCAGACATTAGTAGTCTGGGCCAATTGACTACTCTCTGTCTTACAGCCAGACAAATTTTGTCTGGGCCAGACATTAGTAGTCTGGGCCATTTAACTACTCTTTGTCTTACAGCCAGACAAATTTTGTATGGGCCAGACATTAGTAGAGTGGGCCAGACAACAGTTGTCTCTTCCAGACAAATTGATTATGCCTCACATATGCTATTTGTACCAAATATGTGTTCTGACTACGTGTTGTGTATTAATCGTAGGTGTTCACTTCAAGATGACGAATGACTTCAAATGTAAGGCTGAAAAAGAGTTCCAAGCGGACGCTAATTCATTTACAAAAATTATACCAAGTGTGACTTCTTTTGCAATGGAGAAATAAATGCAAGGATGCTGAAGTATATACTGTTGGGGGAATGTGTCCGTTTTGAACTTGTGATTTTTTGAACATGTATTTTTTTCATATTACACTTGGGAAAATGTGTTGAATATTGTACAATGTTACATGTTCAATGTTGAACAATTGGATTCAGCGGTATTGTCTGTATGTGTTGAATACTTATGTATGTTGATCTTTTGTTTGTCTGGTTATCTGCGGTATTGTCTGTATGTGTAAATTGTTTGTCTTTCTGCGTGAAAGTAATGTATGTGTGGTTATCTGTGTTGTTTGTCTATCTAACGGTTGTGTTTCACTGTTTGGACACTGTTTGACACTGTTTGGCACTGTTTTGCACTGTTTTGTTTCCTAAAATGGAAGTGTGAACTTAAATAAGGGACATCCCAAAAAGGAAAGTGGGAACTTTAATAAGAACCGGAGGGAGTACATGTTTGGTTTTCACCAAATTCATTTGTACATTAACAAATACAATCATATCTCCGAACACTTTTATATAACCACATCAACAATTACTAAACTCATCAAAATGTACTATAAAATAACTAAACTCGTCAAAACAACCCACAAATATACATTCCCACATTAATAACAATTCCTATGCTTCCTCCACCTTGTTCCACATATTTGCATACTCGCAACCTGGAATCAATGACTTCTCCATTTACAGGTGCTCTGCAAAGGAAGCCACCATCACTCATTCTCCCGACCTGTAGACAGACAACTCTGAATAAAGGCCAGACATTTTATATCACATTACAGACAATTTGTTGCAATACATATGTAGACAGACAGACTATTTTCACATTACATACAACTCAAATAGAATGCCAGACAACGTTTTTCACATACAGACAACTACAAATCAATTTTAAAGAATTCATTTCACATTACAGACAAATCAAATGGAATGTCAGACAACTCTTTTCACTTCATAGAGAACTACAAACCAATTTTCAACATCTGGAGAGAGACATCACAAAAGTCATCACACGTATTATAAAATACATTTGTAAAATAAGAAGATGTGCATACATACAGTTGCTCTATGTACTCAAACAAATAAATTTGTCTGTCAAGATAGACATCTTATGTAAGACTCTACCAATTATGAAACCATGCTAAGCTAGACAGACGCTGCACTTCAAATTTGTCTGTCAGACAGACAACCCCTTTTCATGTGGAGTTGGACGAAAAATACCAAAAAAATGAGGAAAAAATAGCAAAATGATGAAATAGTGCCTCACATGACGGATGGGGCTTCCACCGGCCTTTACCGCCGGAGATCCGAGGCGCCGGGCCGTGCTTCGATTTATGGAGGATTTCAGATCGGCGAGCGTTGAGGAGAGGGGTTCATGGGGGTGAGGACGGGGGTTGGTTGTTTCGTGGGGGCCATGACGACGGTTGGTTGTTTTGTGGGAGCCAGGATGGCGGTTGTGGAGGATGGGTTGGGAACTGTTGAGGTTGGTGCGGGAAGGGAGTTCTTGGAAAGTTGTTGGGGAAGGAAAAAGGTGGGAGGAGTGGGAGATTTGGAAGTGGAGATGAGGGGGAAGGTTGTGGGGAGTTGAGGGAGGGGAGGTGAAGGGAGGGGGGTAAATTTTTTAGAAGGTATTTATATGGGGTATAAAATGGGGTAAGGTTGGGGTACCTATAGCAAAATTGTTAGGACTTTAGACGGAGAATGCTTAAGCGGGATAATTTTCTCTCTCCTGTGTAGTGTTTTTTTTTGTGGAAAGTAAAATTATATTTTAGGATATTAGGCGGAGAATGCTTAGGCGGAAAACTCTTCTCTCTCCAGTGTAGTGCTTTTAGGTATAGAATGAAATTACATTTTAGGATTTTAGGATTATAGGATGATGATTTTTTTGTGGAAAGTGTAATTACATTTTAGAAATTTGGACGGAGAATGCTTAGGCGAAAGAATTTTTTCACTCTCCAGTGTAGTGCTTTTAGGTATATGATGTTTTTTTTGCGGAAAGTGAAATTACATTTTAGGATTTTAGGCGGAGAATGCTTAGACGGGAGAATTTTCTCTCTCCAGTGTAGTGCTTTTAGGTATAGGTTGTTTTTGTGGAAAGTAAAATTATATTTTAGGATTTTAGGCGGATAATGCTTAGGCGGAAAACTCTTCTCTCTCCGGTGTAGTGCTTTTGGTTATAGAATGAAATTACATTTTAGGATTTTAGGATTATAGGATGATGATTTTTTTGTGGAAAGTGTAATTACATTTTAGAAATTTAGACGGAGAATGCTTAGGCGAAAGAATTTTCTCTCTCCAGTGTAGTGCTTTTAGGTATATGATGTTTTTTTTTTGTGGAAACTGAAATTACATTTCAGGATTTTAGTCATAGAATGCTTAGGCGGGATAATTTGCTCTCTCCAGTGTAGTGCTTTTAGGTATAGAATGTTTTTTTTTTGTGGAAAGTGAAATTATATTTTAGGATTTTAGGCGGAGAATGCTTAGGCAGAAAACTCTTCTCTCTCTAGTGTAGTGCTTTTAGGTATAGAATGAAATTACATTTTAGGATTTTAGGATTATAGGATGATGATTTTTTTTTTGTGAAAAATGTAATTACATTTTAGAAATTTAGACGGAGAATGCTTAGACGAAAGAATTTTCTCTCTCTAGTGTAGTGCTTTTAGGTGTATAATAATAATATATATATATATATATATATATATATATATATATATATATATATATATATATATATATATATATATGGATGAGTTCTAATACAAAGAGGTCTTCCCATGAAAAGTGAGAAGTGATCTAAACCCTTGATTACTTAAAAATGGATGGTATAGATCAAAACTTACGGTCAACCAAAATGTGTAATACATAATAGCAAAAGTGCATAGACAATATGTAATGGTGCACATTCACTTTCGAAAAAAATAATAGGAACGATTATTATACTTGTTATGTTTTTCTCGAAAAATGATGCACTTTTTTGTTACTCTAATGCACTTTTCCTCCGTAGTGATGCACATTTGTGACGTTATTTTACAAAAAAACTTTTAATAATTACACTTTTGGCACCGAATGTTTCCCTCAAATGATCTGATCCACTCATTTTCTCATTTTAACGGCTAAGATTACTTCTCATTTTTCATATAAGGAGTACTTTGTATTTGAACCTCCCCATATATATATATATATATATATATATATATATATATATATATATATATATATATATATATATATATATATATATATATATATATGATCTTTTTTGCGGAAAGTGAAATTACATTTTAGGATTTTAGGCGGAGAATGCTTAGGCGGAAGAATTTTCTCTCTCTAGTGTAGTGCTTTTAGGTATAGGATGATATATATATATATATATATATATATATATATATATATGATTTTTTTTGCGGAAAGTGAAATTACATTTTAGGATTTTAGGCGGAGAATGCTTAGGCGGGAGAATTTTCTCTCTCTAGTGTAGTGCTTTTAGGTATAGGATGATGATGATATTTTTTTGTGGAAAGTTAAATTATATTTCACGATTTTAGTGCGAGAATGCTTAGGCGGGATAATTTGCTCTTTCCAGTGTAGTGCTTTTAGGTATAGAATGAAATTACATTTTATGATTTTAGGATTATAGGATGATGATTTTTTTTTTTGTGGAGAGTGTAATTACATTTTAGGATTTTAGATGGAGAATGTTTAGGCGGGAGAATTTTCTCTCTCCAGTGTAGTGCTTTTAGGTATAGGATGATGATGATATTTTTTTGTGGAAAGTGAAATTATATTTCAGGATTTTAGTGAGAGAATGCTTAGGCGGGATAATTTGCTCTTTCCAGTGTAGTGCTTTTAGGTATATAATAATATGATGATTTTTTTTTGTGGAGAGTGTAATTACATTTTAGGATTTTAGGTGGAGAATGTTTAGGCGGGAGAATTTTCTCTCTCCAGTGTAGTGCTTTTAGGTATAGGATATCCCAACAGTGATTTACATAATTATTTTTCTGTATTAAATTTAGTTCGGTTTTCCTTATAATCCAATAATCATTTATATAATAGTTCCATAATTTGTTAAAATTACATTATCAATATTGGTCTTATTTGATAGATCATGAAAAATAAAAAAAATTAATATAAAATTTATAAAAATTAGATATGCAATAAAAAAGTTATTACAATTTTTAACAATAAAAGGAATAAAAAATAATGGACAATTTAAAGGATATTTCTGACATTTAAGAGTTGCATAGTTGTCTTTTGAAATGAGAAGTCAATTCAGAAACGTTTCTTGGAAGGAAGGAGTACATATAACTGCGCTATTTTTTTCTTCTTCAAAAAACCTCTCTGGTTCGAGCGCCTTCAACCAACCAGTCAGCAGCAGTCACCCATGACCCACCCGCCGGATTTCTGAAGGATCCGGAGAACGCAAGCCATGACCAAGAAGAAGTGTTTGAGTAGCCCCAGTCCCAGAAAACAGAAGTTTGCTGCCTTTGATTTCGCTGAAGAAGACGAGCGTGTAGAAATTGAAGCAAAGATGGCAGCCTCAAAATTCAAAAAAAAGCAAAGCCCCCAGAAACATCACTCCCCCATTTCCAAGTTCACTTTCCTAAGTTCATGTAGGTTTGGTTTATTTCCCCCCCTTATTTTAAAGCACGCTATCTCCTTATAATCGCATGTAAGTTTCAAAATTGACCCGGACTGATTTCGTCAGTGTTATGCATCGGTTTACGTGGTTTGAGATGAATTGGCTGCTCTGAGTCATGATAGCATCATACTGTTTTCTGATTATGAAGTCTATTGTTGTCCATTTCTAGCATTGTGTGTTTAGGTAATATACCTTAAACAATGTGACATTTACTTGTCGTTTCTTAGTTACTAGAGGAGAAAGGAATAAGAAAAATGAGATTGGAAATGAAGTTGTTGACATTGACTCTTCTCATGGTCACACGGATGATGGGATCATCAAGTGTGACAGAGTTGCAACATCTGGTTCTTCTGACCAACAGTCATTTGATATTGATCACACTGAGTATCATGAGGTGGAGAGTTCCTCTAATGAAGCTACACCCAATCCAGCCAGACTTTCAGGCATTGTAATTGATGAGAAACATTTACCTCACAGTCATAGTCCTCAATTCCCAGCTGATGTAAGTCGATTTTACATTCTTTTCATTGTGCTTGATACACGTTGTTGATGTTTTTTTGCATTTCTGTGTGTACTTACTTAATTTAGTAAAGTTCTAATCTTATAGATATTATGTGTAGAATGAGCCAGTTATTGTAGATTCAGATGATGACTTTGTGAGTGGGTCGAGATCTTCAAAATCATTTTCCATTGGTAAGTTTCAGGGTTGGTTTTCCTAATAGAACTATTTGTACTACCTCCGTCCCTTAAAACTTTGTCAAAGTTGACCGGCACGGAGAATAATAAAGTAAAAACTGTGTGGTTGAGATTTGTGCAGAGGAGAAAGAAATAACATAAATCACAAAATAATTGATTAAAAAGGAAAATGACAAAGTTTTTTGGGACGTCCCAAAAAGGAAAGATGACAAAGTTTTAAGGGACGGAGGGAGTATAAAACTTGCTTGTGTGCAATGCTTTTTAAATCTACAGTTTGTGCTGCTGTAGGTTTGCTAGAGGAACAACCATTGAAGTGCAGCTCTCATGTAGATGTCAATGTAAGCTTTTATATGCATACTTGACTGTTTTACAAATATACGACTTCACATTACATATACTAGGTGGCTCTATTACGTTCTGATGTAAAGTTACTAGTTTGAGTGGAGCGTTAAGGACTTGGTTTTCTATAATATAGATTCATTCCAAGGACCTGTGCTGGCATACTTTAATGTCCAGTGCCCACATTACCATATGTGGGAATAAAGTCACGTGAATTCCATATGAACCCACATGGCCCTTGTGACGTTTTTTCCTGACTTGGCGTTTTGATCGTGTCCACACGGATTCCGTATAGTTCTTGCTATATATATGGAGTTTCCATTTATTAAACATATACATGTTTTATCTTTTGTAAGTGTTTTAATACACGAGCTGTTTTATATGATCTACAGGAAGCTTCTGTGATTGTTACCCCTGATCATATTATATATGGCAGTTTTTGTTCCACAAGTTGTATATTGGAATTTTCTTCAAAATACATTCAACTCGATGCTAAATGCATTTCTGAGACGAGGAAACGAACATTTAAATGGATGGTTTCTGATATTGTCTGCATCCAGTCAATGTGGTGTCATGGTGTGAGTTTCAATAAGATTCCCCTTGTACACATTTTC